GGCCCAACTTAAAGCCGTGACTTGATCTCATTTTTCATTTATTAAACACTGGGAAATCCGCTATTTATGCGTTGCGTGAGATAATGAAACTTTTATTCACGCTCTCTTCTATTCAATCAAGGCAAGAGCGTTCGAGAGGCGAGAACTTAATATGATTTTCTCTGCAGCTCGCGTTTCACGCTTCTCGATTCACGATCGGTTTCGGCTCCGCAGCACATCGGAATTTTTTTTGATTATTCTCGCGTTCTCGGGAGTATCTGAAGAAATAGGTAGAAAAGAAGGATACAAAGTGTATAATTATCGTAACTTTCTTCCGCGTTTAGATAAAGAGTCAAGAGAACAACTTAAATCTAGGTTCCTTATTTATTTGCTTATATTTTCCTTGTGCACTTACGGCGGGAATATAGCGCGCGAATTAAATCATGTCGTGGACTTAACTTTTTTGGGGACGAGATAAGAATCTTTTCCTACCTTTCTCCAAAAATCGAGCAAAATCAGATTCAACTTATAACCGTGACTAGACGCGCCAAACGTACAGTTGGCGATCGAAGCTCTGCACGGTAACGAGAATTATTTGTCACGAGGTTCGTGTCACGATAGGAACTCTATAGTCGGACTGTCGATTCTGCTTGGAGCTCGTGTCGAGCTCGTCGTGGGCATAGCCGTCCGCTGAAGCTGTCGTTTCTTCCGTCGTGTTTGTTATACTCGGGGCTGTTGGCGGGGCGATCGATGTAATGAAGTGGCGAGTGTTGGGCGCGCAACAGCGAAACGGGCCGTAAAAGTATATTTTATTAACGCTATTCGCTATTCCGTTATAAAAAGTGCCGCGAGAACGGCGGGAGGGGCGGTAATTACATTTCGTAATTCTCGGGCAGGCGAACGCGCGGTAAGCGCGAGCGACCCCGTTTCTTTCTTCCTTTTGCGATGGAGGAGAAGGGAGGAGGAAGATCGAGAGGAGACTCTAACAGGATATTAATCACCTTAACGCAGCCTCTCTCGGCTCTTCGTGGGTCCGATTAAAACGATCGAGAGCCTCGAGAATCGAGAGGACTCTTCTCTTAACCAGAACACGCCGCTCTCGCCTCTTATTATCTTAACCGCTTAGAGGATAATTGTTGCGCGTAATCAGCCGCTCTTCGCCGCCTCCACCACTCCCCCTGCCACCGATTGCCGGTACCATTTTCAATTATCCTTCGTTCCGCTGCCAATTACACCCACTCGCGAAATTGCAGTCGCCGAGGAGTTTCTTATCTACCGGCGTATCTCGCGCCCATTTCGTGGGGAATCGTTTGAACGGGACGTCGTCGCGACCTCGCTTCCAATTCCGTCTGGTCCTTACGACTTCCCCCGCGAACTGAAAAAGGCGCGCCGGCACTCCCTCTCATTATTCTCATTCGGGAGTCATTTCTCTTTTCGGTAGGTAATAGTAGAAAGTGAGAGGAAATATAAAGTGAACAATAAAGTGGAAAGAGACAAACAAACTTTACCCGCAAAATTAAGTAATGAAAACTCATTTTCCACTCTTCCTCTTCCGTAACACTCGATTTCTACTCGATCGATTTTTTTAATTGTCGATTTATTCACATTGACTTATACAGGATATCTGACAATTACACCCGTTGCGTGCAGGTGGAACTCGTGAAACTGAACACAAAATTCTTCCATCATTTCGCAGACAATTGTTGCAAATTGGGTACAGTGTTCGATCGCACGGATCATCGATCTTCCGTGTCCGCAACACACGGGCGGTTCGTCGACTTTTGCGGCTGTATCTCCTCAACTCCTCGCTCCCTCTGATTTCGCGCGATCTCGCTCAAGGAGAAATCACCCGGCTCGCGGCGCGTATTAATTAATAGGTAGCTTCGTTTTTTTTTCTCGTTTTTGTTCTTCCTTTATTTTTTGTGGGACACAACGAGTCAATCGGAGATAACCGATCCCTGGGGAGAAAACGGGCAGAGGGGAGTGGAGTAACGACCGGCAGGCCGTCAGGAGGGGGGGAGAAGGGGAGGCGGCCGATCGGGCCGGATTTGGTGCTCGATCGCGCAATTTCTCCCGTCTCTGAAATTAATTAAGCACGATAATTAATGGCGACGTTTCCTCGAACGTAACACGCCGCCGCGCTGGAAAGCTCTTTTTTATATTTATCGCGCGCGTTGACGTTCCGCACGCATGCACGCACGCACGCACTGCACGAAGGGGGAGGGTGGGGGAAACGACGACGAGCGATAATCGAGGCGGACGTTCAGGTCTACCCCCGCCGCTGGGGAGATGCAAATATCTCCGGCAGGAATACGGCGAATCGAAATTCGGGATACAAACAAGAGGGGTGCCTCGGCGATACGCGCTGTCATCCCGGGGTTATAAGATGAATTCGCCTCAGCGTCGCCGAGAGGGTATAACGTTATTAACGTGAGTATCTTTTTGCCCACACGAGCGGAAGGGTGGAGGGATGAGGGATGTACTCCATCAACACGTAAACAGGTGAAATGTTACACGTCGGATTTGCAGTTCAGGCACGTTTCTCGAGTACCATCCTCTGTTCTCGTGGGAATTAAATAAATACAACTCGAATTACATGATAAAATAACGGGATGCTTTGAGAAGAAAATCTCACGCCGGTTGAGCATCAGCGTTTCATTATGCCACGAGGAACAGAAAAATGTAGAAAAAGAACGTCTCTCTGTTTATAAATTACTCATGGTTGGAGAGGAGAATTTCATACTGGATAATATGATTTTACATAAGAGAGGGAGTTGAGTAAGGGGTGGAAGATACCAAAGAGAAGATGCCAAAGTTCCGGGACGTGCTTTGTGCAGCTCGCAGAGAATAGGTGATTCGCTGAACTCTTGGCTAACAATGTAGCGAACTAGTATATATTTTTAGCGAAAATTAATTTGTCAGATGCCGAGATAGTTTGCCCGGCGATATCGACTCACGCGATACTCGCGCGTCTTACCTAGGGATAATGAATCTTAAGCTCGCGGCGCACGATGCTCAATTCTCCGTTGTGTATGGAGCCTTGGTGTAATTTCGATGATGGCAACGTTCATTATTTCGCGCATGCTTCCCTGCATGCACCAATCGGTGCATCGATCGCTCGAATTTGATTTATGTATTCAAGTGTCGCATCGTATGTATGTGTGTGTGTCATTGTAACGTCATACGCAAAAGAATGAATAATGAGCCAAATTAATGAAAATTTCGAGAAATCGTTCCGATATCGTCCAAATATTATTCGCGCAAAGGAGGAAGTCGTGGATTTCTGTTCATCACCAACCAATTATTCGGGTATGAACGAGTTTCCGGAGGTTCGCGACAACAGGGGTGACTATCGACGCGTTATTTCAACGCGCGCTTCTCGCCATTTCGCGCTGAATTTTTCCACGAAAGTACCTTGTTTCGCTCTCCCGTGCGAAAATAATTCTTTTTTTCAACTGCGTGAATCAACGTGACGTTGAAAATCGCGCGTGCCTCTCCAACGCGAACGCGCCTCCCCGCCCTTCGACCTTCCGCCCCCTCGCGCGCTCCTGAGTTGGTCCCGCGTTGGTCCCTGCCCCTCCCGCCCTTTTTGCGGAATGGGAAAATCGGTCGACGGTTATCTACACGCGTGAAAGCGCAATGTCGAAACGAACTGACGCGGACGGGGAATTGGAGGATTGGATACGACGGAGAAAAACGTGTCGCCACGTTTTGCCGACAATATCGCGCGATGGAAATTCCGCGAGCGCACGCAAGACAATCTGCTCACGGATGAGCGGCTCGCCGATTGCGGAGGATAGCGATGGGGGATCTCGAAGGGACCGGCGCGAGAATGCCATTTCGGGTTTACCGTGCCGGGCCGCGGCGCAATATTGTTTGCCGGCACTTTGCATTCTGCACCCGACGCGGCTCGATGTCGCGCAATTAATTTTGCCCGATGTGTTTTCTAATCGGAGTATCGTCGAATCAACGATCCCACCCCGTCCTTCCGCTCGCGGATGTCGAGCGCGGAAAACGCAATACGCGTTAACCGCGCGAAGAGCGTTAGTTACGGTTCGTTGCGAGTCAATTATTTAATTAATTCAAATGGCGCACGCGAGCACGCGTTCGTTGCGTTGCGAGAACGGATCAAACGTTTCGCGCTGGCGTTTATTTTGCGATTTAATCGGCTGCTGCGATTTCCTCTCCCCCCCTTTCCCGTCTCTTCCATCCACCACCGCTCCTCTCCCTCGTTTACTGCTCACTCGTGTTCTGTTGGAAAAGTAAGTCCTCCGAACTGTCGACTGTCGCGCGCGACGACTGTGTGTTGCTTTTCCTTTCTCTGCTACTTTTTCTTTTACTTCTTCTCCTTCGTGAGTTTCGCCGTCGACTGTATACGATGTGGATCCTCCAAAGGTCCAAAATTCGCGCACTATCTCCCTATCAGGCCACGCACTTCTTGAACCCACGTAGATACAGGACACCTCGTGCAGGTGAGAAAGATAAAGAAGAAGTAGAAAAATATTCTTGTATCCGATGACCCTCGCGAAGGGTCACCCTACCGCGGCCACCCCCGAGAACAAAACTGTCAGTATCCTCTCGCGATCAGCGATCCAATTAAATCTGATTACACTTCTCGCGAACACGAGCGTCCCATATCGATTCGCAACGATTTCGGCGGAGGGTGGTCCGCCACCCTTCGACGTTTTTGATTTCGGTTCTGTGCGCGGGCCTTCGTTGCGAGACTCTGGCGCAACGCTTCGCCGCTTCGAATTAAGGGGTGAGCTGAGAGTACGGCCTAACCCCCGGGATCTCTCGAAAAGAGACACGATGAGCACAGGGACCAAGGGTGAGATAGAGAGAAAGAGAGAGAGAGAGAGAGAGAGAGAGAGAGAGAGAGAGAGGAGCGGAGGGTAAGAGGGACGACTAGACAAGAAGGGACGCGGAATCGAACGGTGGCAGCGGCGGCGGTGGTGGCTTCGGGGCTCTTCTCTCTCCGGTGTTTATTTTTTACTTCTCCAGAGGGAGAGGGAGACAGCCCGTGCGCGTCCCGATCGCGCATCCCACAATCCCAAACTCAATAAATATGGCCCTGCCAAATAACAACAGCCGTCGGACACGCTTGATACGTTCTCTCCCGGGTAATGCTGTTGTCGCCTATGATACGTGATCGTCGATCGTGCACGAGCGACACAGTGAAATACGCGACGAATCTGTAGAGGCTCCGTGGAGATAACGTCGATTGATATGTTTTCGCGTTAACGAGACTCCAGGAGCGAATTTCATCGTGGTGGTCACGAAATCGATCAGGCAAATTAGGTGAAGGGAAGGGTAATTGGGATAAATTCGTGGAGAAACCGAACGTTCTCCTTCGAGAAGTTGAGAAATGAGTCGGGGAGTCTCGGGAGCATCACGGAGCATCAGATAATTCTGCGAATGCGTTCGAGTTTCCAAGGAAGTGGGTTGGATCACTGTTGTGCGAGCTCGATCTGTCGATTGTGCGAAGGAACTCGCGAAGTACAGAATGGAAAAAGTTTGCTGTCCGCACTTGGTCGTGGATAGCAAACGTGTACGCTGCAATCGTGGGAATTCTTATCAATGTCGTCCCAGTGCGCGAAATATCGCGCACTCCGAGATGAGCGGATAAATCGAGACGCGAAATTAATATTAATGAGAGAACACAGTCTGGGAATTAGCACTTGGTCTGCTAATTAAGGGGGAATTTACATTCGCATACTTGGCGTCCGCGAGATTTAATCACGAGCACTCCGTCGAAGGTAGAGGAGAAAAGGTATTCGATTAAATTTTGCCACTGAAAGAGAGAGGAAGAGAGAGAGAAAATCCGCCGCGAATGGAAATGTCGTACGAGAGTGAAGTGCGACAAGGATGTTTCCGGGGCACTTGGCGCGCCGTTGAAATAGTCGAGAGCATCTGGGATTTCCGCGACAAGCGTCTTCTCCGAGGTGCATTAGCGTACGCGAGAGGAACTCGCGAATTAATATCGTCGCGCGGGTATCACTTAGGGGGGAACATTTACACATTTGCTTGGCGAAAATGACCGTTCGCTCGTGCGCAGAAGAATTTTTAACGCGCCGCCAGCTCGTAAAACGCGAGCTCGAGAATCGCGCAGCGACGAGAGCGTTTTGATTTTCGTTTTCGCTTTCTTTTTGCGCCAAGTGGAATCGACGACGAGCACGACGACGGGAGAGACCCTCGCAGAAACGGAACGAAGACTGTCGGCCTCGGGGGAAAAAGAGAAAGAATCGGTTACCGTTAAATCGATATTGCAATCGTAAAGTGATAGATAACAGTTTAATGCTCAGGCAGAACGCAATCATCTTCGCGCGCTTCTGCCGCGTCGGCCTCTGGTACGGTCTAAAAGTAATACGTTGCCCGGAAGTTGCAGCGGGATTAGCCAGCCTCAAAGCGCGCCTGCATGCGTCTCCGCCGTCGTCGTCGTGCCGTTTAATCTGAACACTCGTAAACACGCTGTTCAGACATTCAGCCGGCCACGAACGTCGCGCACGACGACTTCCTATCCCGGACATCACCGGTGTCGTCGACCTGGCTCTGATATTTTATTTGAAACACCGCCTGGGTATCGTCGAGGCGGGCGAATCGAACTCGACCGCGCGAAAAAACGAAGGCACAATGACAACGACATTCTACTTTAGTGTGAAAATGATGTCTAATAACACCTTACCTAAAATCCTTTTAGCACAAAGAGGACTCTCGAAACTTAGAACAAAAAAAAAGAAAAAGTATTATTTGATGCTTTTTCTTTTACTCTTTCGTTTCCGCCCAGATAGTGCTTTCGATTACTCGGGTATGCAGTTGATTCAGATGTTATTTGATTATTGAGCCTTCTACCGATAACAAACATGATGCATTATTGTCTCGTAACTGTTGGGTTGGTGATGCGAAAGGCTTATCGCGTGTTTATCAAATAAAATGGGAGATGAAGTCACTTACTTTCGAAGAACAGTATTGAGTTGATATTTTCTTTTAGATATCTATAAAGAGATTTTTCTATCTTCTTTTTTAATATCCAAACTTTGTATGAAAATTTAATAGAAAAGTGACAAATCTTTTGCATCAACTTGATACTCACAAAATTCAAAGTGCTCTCTACATTTCTTTAATAAATAAATGACATATAGATACTTTATATCTGGTTTATACTGACAAAGTACTATAAGATATCAAAACCAATATCGAGACTTATCGAAGGTCGTTTGATGTACGATTCGAGGTTGGATGCCGCGAAATATCGAAGTGAAGGAAGCTTGAGCTTGTGAAATGAACGAGCCCGTGAGACCAGTGGAGATCTGCTTTTATTGTTGCACTAAGTTGCACAAAGTTGTACTGTCATTTAAAATGAAACGAGGACCTGATTGACATAGAAAGAATAATTACACGGTATTAAATAGAAAGATTACAGGGTAGTTGGGACAAGATAATTGGGTAGGCATGAAGAGCAGACCTCAAGATCGAGACATTGTCGACCTACTCCGCCGTCACCTCCTCTTCCGCTCCGCGAGCGATTTCAACACATTGTCAACCGCGCCAGTTGCACTTTGCAGGGCTTTCAGAAAATATTATTTTCCTCGTATTCTTTCATGAAATAACACGTTTTAACTTCGACTCTCGTAACGCAATATGGGAATTAACAGCATGAAATTTGAAAGGGGGACTAAGTTTTTCCGAAATCGTTGAAGATTCGCACAACGACTCATCGTGAAAGGGGCGAGTCTATGTGAACGATCAGTAATGCGTTAATCAACACATCGATCGTCACACTGATTTCCATAGATCGTTCCCAAGCTTAACTAAAGCCTGAGCTTAATTAAAGTTGCGGTAAATATATGCATTTGTCAATGCATATATTTATCAGTTGGTTTCATCAACTCTTCCTATTGGTCACACGTTTAATTTGTTAGCTGCAATTAGGTGCAGTTTACGCGTACGAAACTGGAGACGTTAAAATAATAATGCTCACCGATGACCCCCACGGCGGTCAACATGGTTAATTATCACGTTCCCTTGTATTTATTTGGAGAGGATTCTCCTCCACAAACAATCACGTTTTTTTATTATTTTTTATGTAATTATGTAAAACAAAGATAGCTTGATAACATGGACATAGAAAAAAAGTTCGCTGTCACAATATGTGACGGTTTCTCGTGAAAGATTTATCCAAATGATTAATTAATGCGTTAATTAATCGTTTGGCTTGATTTGGACAATTCTCTTCTAGACTACCTCATCATCTTTTCCTAGACTATATGTAAAATATTATTTTCCTCATGTTTTCTTTAATTATATAAAATGTACTTAGGGCGATATGTACAGTCAAATTTTATATGTAAGATCATCTCGAGTTCATCTTCAGATGCTGTACTGATTATCTCATCAACTACGTAGTATCTCAAGGTGAACTAAAGACAGTCTCAAATATAAGACAACGTGGACTTAAAAAAAAAAGAGAATTGTCACACATATGTGACGCTGGTCTCTCACGAGAGAGATGGTTGCCCGTCACCGACGTGTTAATCCGCGCGTTCGCGATACATCGGACGCGACGAGGCACGTCGGCAACGTCGTGCGACACATCGCCTCGAGTATCATATCCCACTGACCTTTGCACTCGTTGGCGTCCCTGGCGGTGGCTCGTGCCCATGGCCGGTCGAAGTGGAAGGGCCGGCAGCGCTCGCAGTCCCTGCCGGCGGTGTTGTGCCGACATTCGCAGACGACCTCGCCGTCCTTGCCGGGGATGCACCTCGCCGCGTGGCCGTTGCACTTGCACCTGCCGCCCACGGCGAAGTCTGAGACGGCGTAGTGGTGGGCCATCGTGGCAGCGACCGGGCCGATCGCGCCGCCGGCAGCGGACACCAACACCGCGGCACCGCCGTTCGCGACGGTCGTAGTCGTGGTGGCGGTGACCGCCACGAAGCCCATGTCCCTGACCACGGCGTCGATCGCGTCGTTGGACTGCATCTCCTGCGGCGCGATCACCTGGTGCACCGACGGCACCGCGGTGACGAGCGGGTCGCCGTGCAGGATCGCGTTCTTCTGGCTCTTGAGTCTCTCCTCGCGCTCGCGCTCGCGCTTGGCTAGCTCCTCCAGCCCGATCGCCGGCGAGTGATGGTCCTCGCCGTTGGCCAACGACGACACCACCTGCTGCTGCTCCTGGCTCGGCTGCTGCGGCATGTGCAGCCGGTTGAACACCACCCTGATGTCGGTGGCGGTCACCCAGTCCTGCAGCACCGGCGAGTTGTCGAAATCGTTGGCGGACGGGCGGCCCTCGAGGGTGCTAAAGGCGATCCTGCCGACCGGGCCGAGGCCGTCCCCGCCGGTGTAACGGTGGCTGTCGGTGCACCGTGCCTCTTGCTCGTTCGACTTGGTGATGGTGGCGCGATTCGGCCGGCCGTAGACGCGACGGCATTGCGACGAGTAGAACTGGAACGGCTGCCAGGTCTTGCCATAGTCCATCGATTTGTAGATCGCGATCGAGTCCGGCTTGGCGGCGCGGGGGCAGAACTGCAGGCTGACATACGTCAGCTCGTACTTCTTGCCGAGCGAGAGGGTGAGGGTGACGTTGTCGGGGGGCGCTGAGAAGCTCTGCGAGCTGACGAGCGGCTCGCTGCGCCAGCACGTGACGTTGTTCGGGTTGTTGAGGTCGGTGAGGTAGCTCGCGGGGAAGCGTCGCCGGGGTGTACTGTCGTCGCACACGTGGCAGTGGCCGAAGCCGGCGGTGCCGCCGGGCTGCTCGGTGACGTCGCAGTAGCGGGTGGGCCCGCCGGTGCCGCACGTGGACGACGCCTCGACGGACGCGCCGAACGCCGCGTTCACGAAGTCGGGTATGCAACGACGCGGTCGGTCCTCGTCGTAGCACGGGTCGGTCGGGTTCTGTTGACTGGAGAACATCTTGGCGTAGATCTCGCCGCGGGCCTGCCGCGACTGCAGCAGCAAGATCGCCGTGAGGATGAGCCAACCGCGGCGGGTCCGACGTGAGCACGTCGGGCTTCGCTGTTTCTTCATCGTCGCAGTCATCTCGGTAGCGATCATCGTCATTATCACTCTCGCGGCGAACGTATTCGGTTGTTCGTGGCGCGTGTTCAAGGTGCTTGGCGCCTCGTAAGCGCTCCTAAGCGTGCTCACCGGCTGAAAGAGCAGAAAAGAGACAGATCTCCGTTTGCCTCTCGCTCAGCTTATGCCCCCTTCGCCTTCTTCCTCGCGGGAAGAAGGAAGAAGAAGGACGTGATGGAAGGAGAAGGTCCTAGAGTCCACTCCGCGTCATGTCGAGTGCCGTGCCGTGGAACACGCGTTTCGCTGTCTATCTGCTCCGATTTTCGACTCTCTTTCTCTCTCACACACACTCACACGGCGGACCGGCTCACATTATCTCGTCGCTGAATTCGAGCGCGCGCGCCCGCGCGATCGCGACACGGTTGATCGATCGATCGATCAAGCTGCCTGACCGACTAACTCCGAGTGTTCAATTATGTACGTTTATCTTCCGGAAACGCGCCGAGACACCACTAGAAGCAGGTTGTCCGCCGCGGGCCGTCCCGCGACGACTCACTCCGACGAAGAAAAACAAGAGAGAAACGCGACTATCCCGCGACCACGCGAACTTTCCACCCCCTAGTGCCGTCCCTCGCGAAAATCCGAACGGTGAATCGGAATCTCGTGTACGCTCGCGGAGGGAATGCGGCGTGTCCGCTGCCGAAACCGACGACAAAGGCAAACCCTACCTCGACAGCGGCTCGCCGCTAACTGAAACGCCGTCCTCGCACCGTGCGCATCCGAACTGCTCGCGGCGAGTCCCTCTCCGGTCGCGGGTCCCCTCCACCCTGAGCGGCCCCCTGTGCGTGGCACCCCCGCTCACGCCGTCTTCGTCCGACCGACGACTCGATGTTCTCGCTCTCGCTGGCGCGGGCCAATCGGACGGCGCGGTCGTCGTGACCCCCACGCGACCCTATGCGACGACGACGACGACGACGACGACGACGACGACGACGACGGATCCGTGACGCGTCCGTGATGGATCCAAGCGCGGATCCAGCGCGGAGGGATGCTGCGTGATCGCCACCTCGGACCGGAAACGCCGGGCTGAACCGGGATGACGAGGGTGCCCCTCCCGCAGGACGCGGCGACGCGCCGGGTCTTTTTTTTCTTTTCCCGTCGTCCTGCTTGTGTATTTTTTCATTTCGTCATTTCGCCCGCATTTCGTCGGCTTTAAACGTTAACCTGTTGGTTCGTTTGGACGTGGGATTACGTTGCTTTTTAATTGTACGTCGCGGTCCCGAGCATGAAATTGGGCTGGATAACAAGTGTGACCAGTATGAGATGAGATTATCCCTCCGCCCCCTGTCTCTCTCCTCTTCGCTCAAGCGTAGGAAAATTATTCGAGATGGGTTCACGCGATATTTTTTATTCGTGAACGCGAAATACCCCCCAAAATTGACGTTCCGAGAGCGAAGAGATAAATAAGATCGATGTTTATTGGCATTATCTTGCTGGAAATAAAATAAATCCTTATCCGTACTGTCTTATAAAATCTTTCACTGGGATGCCATCTCACGCGATAACTCGGTTGAGAACGACAGATATTTTCACCGATAATTCATGTACTGGAAAAAAGATAACGCCGATGAGGAAAGACGTATCTTTTTCTTTACTCCTCCATTAAAGTGACATATTCTCAGGCTGTTCTCATTTTACGTAATTCGTCTCTCGGGATCTCGTGAGACGAAGATTTTCCTATATACGCCGTCACAAGATTTACGGGCGCGCATATTATACGTACAATGTCGCGCAACGTCGTTCTCCCATGGCGTCTTTGCTGACATGTACACGCGTATTAGTTTGTCTTTACCCGTACTACTATCATTTTCCTGCATATTCGGGCATAATATTGTTTGATGTAATCTATTCCCCTGTTACACACGCGCCGAGATTCAACCTCGTCTCTGTTAATTAATTTGACTAATGCTTAGCCTGACTTGCTCTGCTTAGCGCGCTTTATCGTCCCTTTCTGAATTGTAAAATACGAACCGCTAAATGATCCATGTGCTTCACGTGTCACTGAGATGTGAGGAAACATTTCTTCCACTAAAGATTCAGTCAAACATTACTCTCTTTCATAATTCCATTTCAAATAACTCTTCTGAGCCGCAAGTTAAATTTCGACTAGAAAATCCGCTTGAAATTCATATCCAAGATATTTTCTATTTATTTTTCTCAATTAAATCCTCGAAGGATATCTCCTAAAAGTCGTCCATCTCTTCGTCGTACACTGAGAAAAAAAAGTGTTTGGTATAGTTACAATTCTCCATATATATAGAGAAATAATTACTATAAATTATAGTCAAGAAATTTCTTTTTTCTTATATTCTATTATGTAACGTTAGTGATAATAATCTTGTGTGCACGTTACTACCACCATTTTCGTGTTAGAAGAACCAATAGATATGGTTAGCCAAAAATAAGTATAATTACAGTTAAATCAGCTATTACTTTTTCTCTCAGTGTACGATCGCCCCTGAGTTAAAATCGACACCTTCGACTTGTGATTATCGGCCTCGCGCAACGACTGCGTTCGTTAACGAATTATCCGTGCGGACATTAATCGAGATCGGCGCGATCCGCATCGATGAAGCGGTCGAGCGTCGCTCGTCAATGGGACACGTTCATTGAGGGAACTGGCGTGAGCGCCGCTCACGAGAGGATCGTAAAGAATGCTCGCCCCGTCGCGAGAGAGGAAGGGGACTTTCGAGGAATTTAACCGCGGATTATTTCACGGTGATCCCCCGCAGGCGAGAGAGGGTTCCTCTTTCGTCGATTTCGTCGTGAGAGGACGGGTCCGCCTGCGTGCGGGGCTTATAGAGCGAGTTTTCTGCCGCTCCATTGGACGCCGAAGTCGAATTGGCGGTCGAACGAAAGAGGAGAGAGGGAGGGGGGAGAGAAAAGAAGAAAAAATATTTAAAAAAAAGAGAGAGAGGAGAGGAATGCGGGAGAGAAAGAGAGATTGAGCAGGAGGGAGAAAGTCGACGGAGGTGAGACGAGGAAGTGAACGCAGAGAGAGAGAGAGAGAGAGAGAGAGAGAGAGAGAGAGAGAGAGAGAGAGAGAGA